TGTACACAATAAAAACACTACCCATAGGGGGCTCTGGTGACCTAATGGTGAGAAGGTTCACTTCAATCCCAAAGGCACACAGTTTGAACCACCAGCTGCTCTGTAGGAGAATGAACAGTCTCCTCCTGTGTAATTTACTGCATCTGGAAATCTGCTGCAGAGTCAGCTATGGTTCGGTTCTGAGTCGGTGACACATAAGAACAACAGCAACAACATGCATAGGTGTTCTGTCAGAGTTTAGATTCATTTTGCCTGAGCCTGTTGTTGGTGTTAAATGCCGTCAAGTCAAGTAGGACTCAAAGCGATACTATGAACAAAAGCTCTGAACCCTGTTCTATCATTGTTTCTCTTATGTTCATAGTGTTTTCAAAGGCTTGTTGTCTAAGAAGTGGATGCCAATCCTGCTTCTAAGCCTGTCTTAATCTGAGAGCTTGAAATCCTGTCCACCATGGGTAACCATTGACATACTAATGGCAGTGTTCAATATCACAGCAACCCCAAGTTATCTAGTACAGTAACAGACACACAAGTGCTATACCCCTTGAACAATGTTCTTCCCAAACACAATTAACAGCCAGCAGGCCCTCACCCAACCAACTTAAATACAAAGGCCCACCCACTAGGTCCTGATTGACTTAAACAAAAGGCTTCCAGCCCACAGCTGATTGTTGACTAAATACAGGTGACCAATCAATTTACACAAGATTGCCTGAACCTACTGTTGTGAAAAGCTAAGGGAAGGTTTACACACAGAAAGCAGCAGTCTTTGACGGTTATCAGGAATGGGAGGGGAGCTGAAGGGAATGGAAAAACCCCCTCAATAATTAGGTAGAGGATCGATGCCTTTGACTTATTGCAATGGAGAAGAGCACTGAATGTCCTATGGACTGCCAAAAGGATCGACAAGTCTGTCTGGGAGGATGTGCAACCATGGTGCTCCTCAGAGGCAAGGGTGGTGAATCTTCATATATATATCGGGCATGTTATCAGGAGGGTCTGGTCCTTGGAAAAAGACATCAGGCTATGAAAGGTGGAGGGTCAGAAAAGGAGAGGACAATCCTTAGCAAGATGAGTGACACAGTGACTGTAGCAGTGGGTTTGAACATGACGGAAATTGTTAGGGTGGCACAGGATAGGCAGAGTTAGACATGTCATTCTTACGGTTGCTCTGCTTCAAGTTGTAGTCAACTTGATAGCATCTAATAATAACAAGAAGTAACTAGGTAATACCCACTAAAACCCACTGCTGTCTACTTGATTCCAACTCACAGAGACCTTCCTTTTCATTGAAGCCTTTCTGAGGCTGTAAATTCTTATTGGAAGTGACTGCCTATCTTTCCTGTTTGGAGTGGCTGGTGGTTTTGAACTGCCAACCTTTTAGTTCATAGACTCAAATGTAAAGGAAATGCCACCAGGGCACCTTTACTGGATAATGGATGCTTATTAAGCTGGGTGAGGGGATAGGCCATGTATGATAAAGAACAGTCAGCATGACATGGGGATGTTCACAAGATGTGCATATGGGATGCACTCACTTCTGGTGAGTCAGTTGCCTCTCACAGTGACCCTTCTCCATGTTTCTGAGGCTCCACATCTTTACAGGAAGACATTGCTCAGATGTCTCCTGAGGCTCTGTTCTGGATCCTTGTGGTTCACAACCCCACTCATAGCATGCTCCACAACCAGAGCTCTGTGCTAGAGCCAGTAAAAAAAACAAACAAACAAACAAACAAACAAACAAACAAACTACAAAAACAACCACCAAAAAAACCCCAAAACAACCCTCCAAAAGCCAAACAAAACCCCAACCAAACCACCAAAATGAAGATTGACACTCATGGTTAATTCAGAATTCAGCATTTAAACTTTTCCTATGTCCCTGTCAAAAAGGCCCTGGAGCGTTTGTTCTCTGTCACATGGGGTCTCTGTGGCCCAGAAGTGACCTAGGGCACCCAACCACAACAGCATACTTGTTTGCTAAGTCCTATGCTAAGTTATTAGTGCTGTAAACACTTGAATGTGGGCTGCTTTGTGAAACTTTTGCTTAACCACTTGTAGCCATTGGATCTTGTTAAAATGAGGCACATGCGTATTTTCTATGAGCCTGTTTTTAGCTGAGTGTACATTTCTAGGCTCATTTTAATTTAATTACTAGAAGAGCATATTGATTGAGTTCGCATTTGAACTGAGTTCCTTCTTTTTCTGTTACCTTCAATGGTAGGGTGACTCAGAGCTCTTGCCTTTAGGGATCAGTAGACATGGTTGGGCAGGTAGAAAATTAGACCATTTTTTAAGTGGAGAAAAGAAAGTAACAGCATTTTAATTAACTCACCAGAAAATTTGCACTGTGTTTACTTCTGACATTGTTAGTAACAGCTCATATGCCTTTATTTTCAGTGACAGGTGTTTTTTTATCTTGAAAGAATATTGTTACAAATAATCCTTGTGAGCAGTAGCTTACTCTTAATGAGAATTTCTGTGTTTTCACTATTGTTTGTATTATGCATGGAGTAGAGGTTTCCTTTTTCAAAATAATGGGATTTTTGCTGTTGAAAATACATACAGCCAAGCATAAACCAATTTAAGAGTGTGTGTGTGGACACTTCCACAGTTCAGTGACATTGATCACAAACTTCAAGCTGCAGAACCGCCCTCACCCTCCTTTTCAGGATTGTTCTACTCTAGGCATATACTCACTGCCCCCAAAGCTTCTAGCTCCTGAGCTGCTATTTTCAGTTTGATCCCTCATTGATAGCTTTTTAGATGAGCCTAGTGCTCAAGGCAGATACTCTTTGTTAGTTAAACTAAAGTGTTGTTTGGTTCAGTGAAGACTTCGAGGTGTATTGTTGGCTTATATCTAAAGACTACCTTGTTTGCTGTTGTTGTGTACCATAGAGTCAGAACTGACCATAGCTGACTCTCCAGTGGGTTTTCAGTGGCTGATAGACCATCCTTCTGCCACAGAGCACCAGGTGACCTCAAAACTCGTGTCTTTGGGATTGCAGCACAGCTTCTTGCCTTTTGGCTGCTAGAGCTCCCTAAGATTACCTTAGGGCAACAGTTGTAGGTGTTTTACCTAGCCTTTATGGCTCTAGAAAATCTGGATTCTGTGAGAATTTAAACATCTGTTCCACAGTTTCTCTCTTTCGATCAATATTCCTCTATAGAATCTTTGAGCAAAACATTTAGTACTGGTGGCCAGGCATCATCCAGTTAGTTGTCTCAGGGCAAAGGAGGTAACTAGACCATTGTGTGAAGATTCCTCTCATAGATAAACAGATATTGCTGACATTATTAGAAGTTGGAGAAGAATAATGCTAATGAAATTTGGGGGTTCTGAAGCCACTTAGGAGCCTTTGGAGATTTTCCTTTGGCTGAATATCCCGCTCACATCACAACAGTTTGTATGGTCAGCTAAATTCTTAGGAAATAAGTTCTTGTATTCTGATAAATCTGGTTGCTTCCTTCCCCTTATTTCTTCACAGCCAGTGACTAGTTAATTGTTGTAGAGTTGATGGTGGAGAATGAGCTAAACTAGGAGTACCTTGTTAATATTTTTCTATTCAGTTTATGTGTTTTTTTGTTTTGTTTTGTTTTTAGTAGACATCTTTCACTGTTTTGTTGTTCAGTGGCAGCCAGTCAAATCTAGATCATAGCAACCCCAGGCATGACAGAACCAAGCCCTGCCCAATCCTGTGCCATCCACAGTTTTTATGAGCTTTGTATGGGTTTATTGTATGGTCTAGTGATACTTTTCTAATACATGTAGCCTCAGTTCACAAATGGATTTGGTTTAATAAATCCATTTGTAATGCTACTGTGAAATATGATTTACCCAGAAATCTGTGTTATAAGATATGATTGAATTTCTAAACAAGTCTATAGAAACATTTTTAATTTGAATTACTTAAGAGTCACTAGGATCTGGGGAATGGGGGCCTCACCAAAGTGGGGAGGAGTGGAGAGGAAACTTTTCTTTGCATTTGGGTGTTCAGTTGATTGGACGAGTTTCCCTGGATCCTGCTTTCCTTATCATTGATTTCATTCTCAACCAGTTCTCCTGGCTTGAAGGTCCCACCTCCTGAGGGTTTCCTACTTGAGGGGCCCCAGATGACTGTCCTCTCGTGCCTGGTGTCAGCACTGGCCCTGTTTGCATCCAGTGGGGATTTAGTAGTCAGGGAGAAGTGGACCAGATGACCACTCTGATGCAGGATCTGTGTAGGGTCCTGCAGTTGATGATCGAGGACAGAAGTGGCATAGAGTTCAGGGCCACCACCTGGGACAGTGGAGTAAGGCAGGGTAACATCCACTAGAGTGGGGAAGAACCACTGTTGTGTTTTGTTTGGTACTCACCTCTGTCCATTTACTATATGAGGGATTTAGCCAGCAGAAGGTAGCATTAAGCTTTGATTTCATAAAAACTCACTGCCATGGAGTTGATTCTGAGTCATAGCCACCCGGTAGGACAGAATAAAAAAAAAACCTGCCCTTTGGAGTTTCCGAGGTGGTCTTTGGAATTACAGCATTTTCCTACTATCAGATGGCTCATGGGTTCAAACCATCATCCTTTGGGCCAGCATTTGAGTGCTGTACCACCAGGTCCTTGTTCGGAAATGAGAGTCAAGGAAATCTTCTCAGACAGCATTTTTCATGAAGGCTGTAAAGGATGTTGTTTTTAGGATTGAGGAAAGCGAATCAAAATGTTAAAAAAAATTAGAAATTGAAGCAAAAGTTCCAAAGTTATTAATAAAATTGAAAGTGTCTTCTGAAGAAATAATAGTAGTTTCTTCCTTTATTTATTTTTCTGCAGTGAGCTTGATTAAAAATCCGTATAAGACTATGATAAGACACAGTCTCAAACAGCTGATCATGCTGAGGACTGCCTCATTGAGAAGCCTGAGCTAGTCGTGGAACGCCACGTGCTGTGTGCTGTGCAGAAATGTGTCCCTTTAGATTCTTGCCAAGAATTTAACAACAAAACTTTCCTTCTTTCTTTCTAGTTTGGGAATACCTGCTACTGCAATTCTGTTCTCCAAGCACTTTATTTTTGCCGTCCATTTCGGGAAAAAGTTCTTGCTTACAAGAGTCAGCCCCGGAAGAAGGAGAACCTCCTCACATGCCTGGCAGACCTCTTCCACAGCATTGCCACCCAGAAGAAGAAGGTTGGCGTGATTCCTCCCAAGAAGTTCATTACAAGGTTACGGAAAGAGAACGGTAATCCTGCCTCTGCTTTCTTGATGCATTGCTTGCATCAGCTACCAGAGGGTGACATAGAGCACACTGAGCTGTGTATGCCTAAGGAGCCCTGGTGGCCCAGTGGTAAGGACTTCTGCTGCCAATCCAAAGGCATGCTGTTGGTATCCACCAGCTACTGTGAGGGAGAAAGACAGTTTCCTCCCATGTGATTTATACCCTGTGAAGACCCGCTAGAGTGTCAGCCCCAGTCACTTCTGACTCAACAAGACATAACAATAACAACTATATGCCTAAGAAGCCCTGGTGGCCGAGTAGTAAGGACCTTTGCTGCCGGTACAAAGGCACATACATGGTTCGTATCCACCAGCTGCTATGAGGGAGGAAGATAAACAGTCTCCTCTCATGTGATTTACAGCCTCCGAAAAACCCCTAGTGTGTCAGCTATAAGTCATTTCCTACTCGACAAGATAGAACAGCAGTAACAACTGTACACCTGAGGTGGCCTGGTGGTGTAGTGGGTCCCGTGTGGCAGCTAACCAGGAGGTTGGTGGTTTGACTCTACCAGCAGTGTGCTCCTGCGAAGATTAACAGCTTCAGAGACTCGATGGAAGTGTCGCCATGGCCAGAACTGACTTTATGTTGTTGGATTTGCTTGTTTGTTTTGGGTTTTAATGTATGTAAAATAATATGCTTGGCATTGAGACTCAGATATGCCATCCTGGTCTTCCAGGAGGCACTAGATTAGTGAGGAGATGGTAACAGCGTAGTTACTGTAAGACGTACTCAGTGTGTGAAGCGTGCTCTAGTGCAGCAATGAATGAATGGAAATCCAAAGTCTCTGTAAACTTTCATTAAAATAAAATTTTTTTAAAAGAAATTAAACAGTAAGTGGCATAGGATAAAATCTGGCGGGTGGAGGGTGGGTGGGAAAGAAATACAACTCATATCTGCCAGGAAATGAGAAATCACTTCTCCTGATTGCTGGGGAAGCTTATCTCTCCAGTATGTTGTTCCCTCACATTATGATGCTTTTCTTTTTCATGATGTTTTCTAGTATATTAATGCATTAGGTTCTTGCTGGAATCCAAGGTAGGGAGTGTGTTACTTTCCCTGTTATGTTGTTGTTGATTGCCTTAAAGTTGAGCACGACTCATAGTGACCCTATGAACAAAAGGCTTGAAGCCTCTCTATAAATATCGACATTTATCAAAGCTCCATAGATTTTCCAGAGGCATGTTGTTTAGGTGGTGGATGACACTCCTTCTCATGGCCTAATGGATAAGGTATCGGATTCTGGTTCAGAAGATTGAGGGTTCCAGTCCCTTTGTCGGCGGTTCCATGTTATTGCCAGAGGAAAAAACCCAAGCTGAGGGGCTCTGCCAGGAAAGGACAGAATTGGAATAAGAAGTTGATCCTCAGCCCTTGATTGTGCTTACGCGAAACCTGTACTTGGACCAGGAGACAGTGTTCAGAACAGAGCAAGGAAACAGTGCATGGTTTAAAATTAGAAAGGCGTGTGTGAGGGATGCATCCTGTCTTCTCCATACCTTTTTAATCTGTAGGTGGAACAGATCATCCGGAAGGTTGGACTGTATTAGGAGGAATGTGGCATCAGAATTGGAGGAAGACTCTTCAATAGCCTGTGTTGTACAGATGACTCAGCCAAAACGGAGGAGGACCTAAGGCATTGCTGCAGCCTTTATTTAATATGATTTGAAGCTCAACATTAAGAAAACAGAGATTCTCACCCGGAGCCAACTGGCAGCATCATGATAAATGGAGAAGAGATTGAGATTGTTAATAGCATCAGTTTGCTTGGCTCCACAGTCAGCACTCTTGGTACCAGCAGTCAGGAAATTAAAAGATTAATTACATTGGGAAAATCAGCTGTGAAGGACTTCTCCAGAGTACTGAAGAGCAATAATGTCAGTCTAGAGACAAAGATGCACTTGATTCATGCCATGGTCTTCATAATTGCTATGCATCAGGAAGCTGGACAGTGACTAGGGATGATAGAAGAAGAATCGATGCTTTTGAGTTGTGGTACTGGAGAAGAGTGTTGAATATACCATGGACTGCTTAGAGAACAAGTCCATCCTGGAGAGGGTGAATGGATGCAAGGATTTGGAAGCTCACTCTGACATTCTTTGAGCATATTTCCAGGAGAGACCAGTCCTTAGAAAGGAATATCAAGCTTTGGAGGGTGGAGGGACAGTGCAAGAGAGGAAGACCCTGGATGAGAGATGGATTGACTCAGTGACTGGGGTAATAGACATAGATATGTCAGAGACAATAAGGTTGGCACAGGATAGAGGAGGGTTCAGAGCTGCTATATATAGGGTTGCTAGGAGTCAGAATCCAATGGATGGCGCATAACAGCCAAAACCTGTTGGAGGTCTGTGTTTGTTTTCTTTACAAGAGTCAGAAATGAGGCTCGGAGACGTGAAAGTTACTAGTGCAAAGTCACATAGCTAGTTAGTGGCAGGGCCAATATATAAACTTCACTGCTCCATGATGGCAAAGACCAGTGTTATAGCTGCGGTTCTGTACTGATGTGTGTTTTATTTTATTTTTTTTAAAATTTCAAAGGATTAGTAGAATTCTGAATATTGTTTGATATAAGCATTTGGATCATTGTATAGATAAAATTTAGTGGTATTTTAGCTTGATTTTTTTTCTGTCAAAAATGCTCATAAAAGTATAACTTGATAAGTGAAAAAAAAAAAAAGAAGATTATATTTTCATCACTGGTTTCAACAACTCAATGATGGGAAATCCATCCAAGACTATTCATTCTTGGCCTATATTTGAATCCTTCCTCT